TATATTCTATGTACTTTAATAAAATGAACAAAGAATGTATAACCTGAGAATTAAACATCGTTCATTGTCATAAATAAAGAATTTGAATATTCAATAGTCTTAGGACTGATCTCTTATTATTAGACCGCAGGTGTTTACGCATTTACAGAAATTTTGAGCAATTTGAAGAATGACGGTTTGCAGTAATATAAAGAGTTAGAGAGCATCCGAAATTATCTGAAATTTATAATAATTCCAGGAGGAAACAGATGTTTACATTTCATTGTAATTCTATGATATAAATAATGTTAGAAGCATTGATAATCTAATTATTAGACAGCGGATTTTCATGGAAAATAGAAGACTTAAGTTCGTGAGTTGAGAAAATGCATTTCAGATTAAAATTTCCTTTACTATCTAACCATCGCGATATCCATTTGCTTTTTATATTTTGTACATTTTTATGCAACACATGCAACGTTTATACTTTCAGCATATTTATAATTAGTTCGTAAATCCTTTAAATCCGCAGTCTACTAATTATATTATATCAACATTATAATGTTATCTCAAATGAGAAAGTATCTCGTGAAAAATCATACGATGACAGCAGCGATGGGTAACAATAATTGGAAAAAGGACGACCGTTTGGACGATAAATAAAAATGTAAAGAAAAGTGCATTTGAAAACTAGATGGTAGGGTGATTAGAATATAATTTATCGCGATAACGTTTGTTTGATAAGTAAACGATGTTAACAACGTCTTTAAAACCACCGCGCCGAACAATAACAAACTTCAACCGATTACACTTACGCAAAATTTTATATACAAGAAGGTAACAAGAAGTATGATTAAACAAAATACAACTTACTCGTTTCTCATTCCAGCCTGTCCAGGGAGTCCCCTTGTTCGATGTAATCCATTCATGAATTATTTTACCAAACACTGTTACCGATCAATTGTTATTATTATTATTAGTGTTATTCTTAATCGATGCATTAAAGTATCCAACGAATCCATGGAATCAGAAAATTCACTGGTGAGTCGCGACTATATTTAAAGATTATATTTAAAGTAGTTCGGTGACGGGGGAAGAGTGAATAAAGGAGAAACGATTCCCTGGGCAGAGGCACGAAGGCACGATGTAATTCGCACGAAACAACCCTGGCTACTGGCTCTAAACATAGAAAGAATGCGCAGACGCCTGAGAGAGGAGCCATCCCTCCCTTTCGCAATAATTGAAACTCAGCCGAACCCAACCCAACCAGAAACCCTTTCCTCCCTCTCAAAATCTAAAGATCTCAATTCGAATTTGTCTAAATCGATCAAACTTTAATTACTTATCGATGGTTCAATTAAACAATTATAAGTGAACGCTCCTTGAAATTCTCATCGAATTCCCACTGAATCTCAATTCGATTTTAAATAAACCTTTCGATCAAATAAAAAACACTTGATTTACCCATGGATTCAATTAAAAAACTATAAATAAAGAAGCTATTAAGCGTTCCTTCTTCCCTAGCCTTGATAAATATAGAAGTGGGCCAAGGTCGGATTCCTAACTCTTTTCACGATGTTAATGACCCAAATTCAATCCCAACTCTTCTCAGGGTGTCAGTAACCCAAATTCAATCTGCAGCTAAGAAAAATCGAATTCTAAAACCTGTAAAATGAATGTCGAATGCTTAAAATTCGAATGAAACATGGGCCTCTGGAATAAAATGTTTTACCGCCGCTACGTTCTATGTTACGATCGTATTCTGTTTTCTTTCTTATCACGATAACGTCGCGAATTATTGGTACATGAGTAAATATGAGTAGATTCAATCTTCAAACGATTTAAGACGAATTAAACGAGAACTCTGTCTATATTATTGAATAATTATAATGTTATACAAGTAGATTAGAGGAACAGTGGGGAAAATGTTTGGATTGTTTTACTTATGTAAACATCGCTTTTACCGGGGTCAATGGTACTTTTATCACTAAGATATTAATAATTGCTACGCACTGTATTTCGCACTATCGCTTCTATGTTTCTATTTGTTGGTTAAAATATTCTTAGACATAATACGTAATATAAAATATTTCTCATATTAGTTTCTTATTACCTTCGTCCATTTTAATATTTGTATTTGTTTCAGTGTTTCTAGGTACAAGTTAATTGTTCTTATCTCTTTGGTTAAGGGGCGAAAATACTGCTTCTTATAAGTAGGACTTCCACTTCCAACGTGGAGCTCGAACCTACGACCCTAAAATTAAGAATCTCATGCTCTACTTTTTTTTTGGAAAAATGTTTTATTGACGAAACTCCTACAATTTCATATAGTTACGGCTGCAATAAAATATTAGCTAAAAGCACGCCAACAATCTCGACTTAGTAACTCTTGCTCCTATGTGAGGGATCCCTGAGATATACAGCATCGTATAAAAAAAGAAACTTACAGTATTAACTGAGAATATTACCGAGGCAAGGATCGTATAATTTTTCCCTCGGCCCGAAAGTGGGGACGACGTGACCATGGTGGGGTCTAGTACTTGATGAGGATTACGGTAATGTCAACAGGCCTTTATATAATGGGAACATGCAAAACCCGAGCGTGAGCACTCTCATTTTTTCTCTAATATAAAGCATAAAGCTTATCTGCTAGCCCGAGAGATAGACCGGTATTCACAGTCGTTGCTTGTTCTTGAGATCGTCTTAAGCATTTGCTCAAGGCAATCTTAAATATAACTAACGATTCTGAATAATCTGAATACCGGCCGTAGAGATCAGTGGTTCAAAATTTATTCATTTAGCTCATAGCTGCCCTCTGGCGTCGAGAAAGTTCGGCACGGCGCGACGACAAGAACGAGCAACATTATGATGTGCCTTTTAAACGTTTTCGGTAATGTATCATTTCGTGTAAAAACCGTGAAACTTTCCAAGTGATCATTCTTACGTCCCGCGGAGAACTACATAAGAGAAACGTGCGGACGCGTAATATAATTGGATTCTCCTTTTCGTACCTTGCCGTTTGGAGACGCGAGAGACAACCAAGCGAGCCTAACCTCAACCAAGTGCTCAACAATGGTACAATTTAGATCGTTTTTACTTCATCATGTAATTAAAACGATATACAAACATTTTAACAAGATCAATTAATACTTTAACAAAATTAATTAACATCAACGTCAAATTGGTGCCTTATTCAGTATATTTCATTCTAAATTCAATTTTCATTAAATCTTGTCTGAATCCATTTGATCAAGATGCTTAACTTCGATTGTCGAGATCATAACTGGGGCATAGAGTCATCATGAAGAATCTAACTTCCAAGCAGTTAACCAGGATCGAAAAGAAGAAGAAGAAAATGGCAGCTCTTCTTGAGATCACCAAGTTGAATGATAAAGACAGGAAGGCAAAGATCATTCTAAAGAAAGATGTCAGTATTCAATGGAACAAATTCAAACTTTAAGAATCAATAACAATAATTGATAATGCTACATTGAAAGTTTTAATTGAAGGATATGGAGCAGGTGAGTGACACAGAGGAAGCATCAAGGCGTAAGCGGCCTTGTGATAAGGATGCTAAGCAGGATTTAGATGAGACAGAGAAGGAGGAGAGCTTGGAAACCGAAGCTGTTGCGAATAAGAAGCCTAGGTAACAATAGATTTATTCAGGTTCGAAGTGAGCGTTGATAACTTCAGGGTTTCAAACCGCTTTATTGAAAGTTTTAAGTAAATGTCGACGAGTTCGATACACCTCGTCGAGCTTTTAAGTAGATGAGCCAAGTTGATAGTTTCGATGATTATCAGTTTGAAGAATCCCGTTTCAGATTAAGTGGAGAGGAGTACCTGAAACTAAAACAGGAACTGAGAGCGCGTAAGAAAAAGCTGACGGCATTGCCAAGATTCCAATTGAAGGCAGTAGGCGAGAGCGCTAGCTTGAAAGTTAATCTGAACAGTGAAGACAGGATACCGATTTTCTTGACCGATGTCCAGCATCTTTTGCTGTACTCTTTACACGGCCACCACTCACCTTACTTACCTACCAGGTGGTGCCAGCTTGAGAAGTACAACAAGGTAACGAATTCTTGATTTACTCAGAAAATATTAGAGCTACGAAGAAATGGTGTACTACTTTATTTGAAGATGATAGTAGCAGCTACAATTTTTGTTAGAAACGTTTCTTGATAGGATCGATAATTAACGAGTTATTTGCAACAATTCGACCGGTCGCCAGATGTTACTGTAGTAATACCATTTCAGAGCTGTTTATTATTCGATTACCTCGCAGGTTCCTCATACCGTCGTCTTGGTAGTGGAAGGACTGTCTCTCTACCACTTCGTCGCGTACGAGAGCATGTTCCGTCACATATCAACGAAGCTGGAGCATCAGGTCGAAGTGGTAACGCCGTGCGCCTACGGCGGCTCCGTAATCGAGGATTTAGCCGCTGTTCCCATCACTGGAGTTCAGTGCGACAAGCTCTTAAAACGTGAGTCTCGGCGTACTCGACACGTCTCGATAACAAGAATAATACAAATTGTAGAATTGTATGTGAATTCGATTTTCAGAGTACGGATCTCTGGAAGCAGCATTGAGGAGCACGGGAGACGTGATTAAACTGTTAAGGGCTGTCTTCCCGGTACAGGAGAACGTCCACACGGACGTCGAGACTTCGCACAAGCTGCCTGTTACCGACAAATTCTCCAGGACAAGATTACTGTTATCGTTGTGCCAAATGGTGGAGGAAAACTATCCTGTGCCTTTGAAAGGAGAACTGGCAAAGAAGTTAGTCTCTATTTCTAATGAATAATTATTCATAATGTTATTCACATATTCACGAATTCTAATAATTATTCAATCGTTTCTTTATTTGAACTTCTTGTCCGAGCCACAGACTTCTATATAATAGTATGTATATATCAAATCTAAAGTTCTCTATAATATATAGAAGCCTGGATCGGGCAATCTACCTGTTGTTCATATCTGGTCGGCAGGTATCCTGTTTCTTCTATTCATGCTCCAGTTGTCTTATGTACTTCAATACTTTGTAGTCAATTTGTTCGATACGCTTGATTTAGGTACGGCAGTTATTTGATGACGAAGGACTCTTATATAGAAGCCAGCGCGGTGTCCCCGATGTTCGGCCTCGACTGCGAGATGTGTAAGACGACCACTGGCGAGTTGGAATTAACCAGAATATCCTTAGTCGACGAGGACATGAAAGTAAGCGTCGTTCTCCTGTTAATTTCATCCAGTTTCTGAATAATTATTGAAAGTGCGCTTTTGTCGAAAGCCGATCAACCGAATTCTTATCACAGATTGTTTACGACAGTCTGGTGAGGCCGGCTAACCCGATCACAGATTATCTGACGAGGTTCAGTGGTATTACTAAGGAAATGCTTCAAGACGTGACTACTAGCCTCGCGGACGTGCAACAAACACTGAGGCAGTTACTGCCTCCAGACGCAATCCTCGTTGGCCAGAGCTTGAACTCCGACTTGCACACGCTCCGGATGATGCATCCTTATATTATCGACACGTCTGTTATATTCAACATCACCGGGGACAGGTGAAAATCATTTCTAGATTTTTTATATTTATAGAAACTTTATATAAACGTTTCTGTTGTTGATTTGAAAAATGATACAATTTTAATATTGGATTTAGAGAAAATTGCGAAGGGAGTTGAATTGAAGTAGAGGCTTCAGGCTTTAATTTGGCTCCTGTACGAACTAAATCGATCAATTATTAACAAAGTTATTTACGAACAACGAAATTACTTTTTTAACAACTTGATACAATCGACATGTAAACAGATTCTAATTAATTCTAATACAATCAATAATACGGATTAGATATAGGAAGACGAAGTTGCAGACGTTGGTAAGAGAGTTCCTGGGCGAGAGGATTCAAGAAAGCAACTCCGGGCACTGTTCCACAGAGGATTCATTGGCATCGATGAAGCTGGTGCAGTTGAAACTGGCGAACAGCGTTGATTACGGAGATGCCGTATTACTCGGTCGCTGCGACATGCGCGCGTTAAAACTGGAGGAGAACGGGAAGATAAAGAATGACTTGAAGAAATATGCGACGTCGATCTTTAAACATGTGACCAGGGACAAGAAAACTGCTGCTATCGTCGGAGTTACTGACGTAATTCAAGAATATTCGAAATATCTGACGGATTCCGTCGCTGTTATGGATGATACGCATTTCGATAAAGATGATCAGGTAGGTATCGGAGTTCATTATATAGAATTACTCTTATTGCTTTGATACTGAGGAATTAGTTTGATATTTACGATGATTACTCTGTAAATATTATCGATAAATATCGATATATTATCGATCTTATTTGTAGAGAATAGTAGTAATTACAACTTTTGTATAAAACATTTTTTCGTATTATTAATAATTAACGAATTACTTTCAATTATTATACAGGATTATGTTAATTTCTCTCTACCGAGGAATTAATTCGATATTTATGGTGATTACTCCTAAACTATTAAAACTACAAGAAAATTGTGTAGAACCTTACTTGTAACTGATACTACTATCTTCAATTTTTGTTAACAACATTTTTCCCTACAGCCAATAATTAACGAGTTATTCACAATAAATTATAATAAATACCTATTTTGATTTAGGTTCGATTAGTAGTCACAGATAACAGCAAGCAAGCCGTGACTAGAGCGTCGCAGATCGCTATGGAACACGCGTTCACGTTGTGCCACTTACGCGTTGATGACGACCGGCTCTCTACCGATGAAAAGCTTTCGAAGGCATTTCGCAACGTAAATAAATGGGTGTCGAAGTTGTGGCAGCACACGGCCGTGAACGGCTTGGTTTGCGTGATATTCACCGGCGAACGGGAGAAGCGAACGTCGAACGGCGCCTGTTTTGTCAATTTAAAACGTGAGCTCGATAATAATTCTGTACAGGATTCCTAAAATAAAACTCGTCGATAAACGATTTCGGAGAACGTCTCGATTTCTAGATTCTGGTAACAACTTCTTGCTATTTTTCTGGTATCCCTGTCAATAAGCGAGTTATTGCAAGAAAGAGAAATCCATGCAAATTGTGCTCTTTCCGCAATTACTCCTAAACTATTGACGCTAACGAAAATCTTTTGAAACAAAAGTTGTAGATATTCACGAGTGCTGCAACTTTTGTCGCAAACATTTTTCGATGGCGTCAATAACGTGAACGTAAATCAGGAAAATTCTAATTAGTCAGAAGCTCCAACGATTATTTTTATTCTCGCTATATTTACATTCCATAGGAACACATTTATTTATCAAAGCTACAAACATTTCTATAATAAAAACCGCGAACTATCTTACATTAAACTAAGAGTTATAAAAGTAAAATGCATAAAAGAGAAATGATTCCTTTATCCCTATAAAAGAATCTTCGTATAAATAAAAGGGCTCTCTTCCTAGATTTACATAACTAAAAAAAAAGAGGATATTAATTAACGAACGAATTAAGGATTATTTTTAGTTTTTTGCATATTCATGTAATAAGCCAAAGTTTGATTACTTAACATCCTATTCAACATCTCCTAGAAACCAGTACATTTTTGTTTTTCTTAGACTTTAATTTACTCAAAGGAAAAGTATCAAATTTCGTTGTGCTTCCTTTAACACTCGGCTCATAGTCCTCTTGGTTGCTGGAATCTCCTTCGAATCTCTTTTTCTTTGACTTCAATTTATTTAAAGGAAGAATATCGAATTTCGTGGTGCTCGACCCGTAGTTCTCTTCGGTACTGAAATCTTTTTCCAACCTCTTTTTCTTCGATTCCGGTTGCTCGGAATCTGTCAATTTCCTCTTTTTATTCGAAACTTCGTTCAATCCTTCGTTAGACCGTTCCTTCTTCCATTTCATTCCATTTTCTTCTAGCAAAAATCCTTCCTTATTTTTCTTCTTAATCTTAGATTCTTTACCTAATTTTATGTTCTCCGAGGTGGCTTTTAAAGAGTTCAACGATTCTTGCATCGGTTGGAAAAAGGCGAGAGTTGGAAATTCGTACGAGTTAGAGGAATTCAAATTTACGTTTGTTTTAACTGTGTTTTTTGACTTCTTTTCGTTCGGTTTGGAAGTTCCCGCGATTGGGAGATCGAATCGAGAATCTCTCAACCGTTTTTTAACTGATTTCGTGCCTGTTTCGATTTCCGTCAAGAATTCTGGGTACCTCGAGAGTTTCGGTTTATTTTTCTTCTTGGGAATGTCGAGTGGCAAGTCGACCTCCACGTATTCGATACCGTCTTCAAATATTATTCCTGTTTCTTCTGATTCTTTCTCCTTTTTCTTACTTTTCATTTTGTTTGATTTCTGAACGATTAGTTCTTTGCTGGGTATCGTGCAGGAATTTTCTGTAATATTGAAACCCTCAAAATTTTGTAAATTCTGTGAAGTTTTTCTTAAGAACCCTTCTCCATTTTCTCTGCTCGGCGCCTCGACGATTTTCTTATTATCCTTCTTCTTCTTCTTTTTCGGTTTTGAAGCTCTATCTGCATCGTCTCTGGCTTGAACTTCCTGTATATTCGAAGTAGCGATCTTCCTTTTATCCTTCTTCTTCTTTTTCTTATTCATCCTCTGCTCGTTCTCCAAAATGTTCTTCGCGACCTGAATTACATTTCAATGATAAAAAAGGTAGAATACACAATATGAGTGATAATAATTTTATCCGGATTGAATATAGGAAGCTCAGTGATTAATTAAAATACTGACAAAATTCATTTCTAATGTCATGAAAAAGAATAAAATTGAAGGCTACTGGTATTAATAATTACTAAACGTGTTTTAAAACTTACCTTGAACAGAGTCTCTTTCAATCTCTCATCTGACGCCTCAGCTTCTTCTATTCTGTTTTCCTTCCTATTTTCCTCGTCCTGGACATTCAATTTCAAAGCCGGCGCGCTCTCATTCAATTTGTCCTTCTTCAAAAACTTCGTATTAGGCGTATCGCTGTCCTTAACGAACTCAGTCCTATTCAGCTGACTGACATTGTTCGAAATCGAGCGAGAAAGATTCGTCTTCAATGCTAGATTTGCGTTGACTACAGTTGGCAAGCTTCGGTGTAAGAAACTTCCGTCTTCTTTCTGCAATTTCGAATCGGAGAGTTCTTCAGCTCCTTCGTCGATCCCCTCATCGATCTCATTGTTTTCGAGCATTTTATGCATTCGCATTTTCGGGGTACTAGATTGGACTATCGCGGTAAATCTCAGTTTCCTCGTTGACTTCTTGAGCCCGTGGAGTTCTAAGAATTTCTCTTCTGTCGAATCCCTTCGACATGGGGACGAGTTTTCTTTGGGTTCCGAGGATGGCGTTTCGGTTACTTCGGTAATGGATTTGTTTCTCTCGTTACTCTTTGTCGATTCGAAGGTTTCAAGATCCTCTTCATTCATTCTCGACTTGTTCTTGCTTTCATTCAAACTCTGGTCTTTGGATTTCAAGGGGTACGCTTCGATTATTTTGGTAACGGATCTGTTTCTCTCGTTACTCTTTGACAATTCCAGGGTTTCAAGATCCTTTTCATTCATTCTCGACTTGTTCTTGCTTTTATTTAAACTCTGGTCTTTGGATTTCGAGGGAGACGCTTCAATTATTTTGGTAACAGATCTGTTTCTCTCGTTACTCTTTGACAATTCCAGAGTTTCAAGATCCTCTTCATTCATGCTCGACTTGTTCTTGCTTTTATTTAAACTCCGGTCTTTGGCTTTCGATTTAATATGCAGTAAATCAGCTTGTTCATCATCTGAATCTTCCAAATCTTGACTTCTCGACATCTTCTTTCCCTTCTTCAGTCTCTTTGCGTTGATTTCTGATTTACTCTCGATTAAATCAGTTTCTTGGTCCTCTGATTCTTCTTCTGATTCTTCAATTCTCGACTGATTCTTGCCTCGATTCATCTTCTTCGCTCTACTCTTCTCCTTATCATCAAACAAATCGACCTCAGACTCTTCAGAATCGTCTTCCCCGTTCTTCGACTTCTCTTCTTCGCTTAAAGACTCTTCGACCTCGTCGTCATCGACTACAAAGTCTTTTAGGTCGGAGCCATCGTCGTTAGGATCCGAGGATTCCGTTTCTGAGACTCTACATTCGTCTCCAGGTACGTCGTCGTTGGAAAATGCCGCTTCATCATCGCCGTCCAAATTGTATTCCTTTCTAACATCTGAGTCGATGCTGCCTTCCTCGGAATCCGAATTCTTCTCACCGCGGAATAGGAATTTTGGCAGCTGCACCCTCTCGTAGCTGGATAAATCTGTTTCACTGCTTTCGTCGTCCGTGCAGAATTTTCTCGGCTTCTTCCTTGCAGATGTCGTTTTATTTAATTCTGGAACAGTTACAGTTTTTCGGAATTCATTTTTTGCTTCTGTTTCGGTGAGTTCATCGTTTGTAGAGATTTTTCTTGGTGTTTCCCTAGAGGTGTTCGTTTTCCTTGATTCTGAAAGGGTTTTTTGATCGCGGGAATCATTTGTATAATCTGAGTCATTGATTTCGTCGTTTGTGGAAGTTCTTTTCGATTTCTCACTCCCATGCGCTGTTTTATTTGATTCTAGAACAGTCCTAGCTTCTGCAGATTCGTTGATTACTGTTTCTGCCTCGCTGATATCGTCGATTGAACTCACTTCTCTGTGACACATCATTTTCCTCGGTTTTTCCAGGATTTCAGTTTCCCTTGGTTCTTCTGTGGATTTATTTATCTTGGAGCAGTCTTCTTCCACTTCCATTTTCTCTTGTTCCTCTAAATCGTTCTCCTCTAGTTTAGATTTACTTGAAGATTTTTCAGTTAACTTCGAATAGTCTTCCTTCCTTCTTCTTACTTCCATTTCGGATGTTCTAGGAAACTGGAACTGGTTCTCGATTTTCTTTGAAGAATTCGAGCAGTCTTCCTCCTTTTCTATTTCCATACTCTCGTACTTCTCCGGATCGACAGTTTCCTCCGATTTTTCCAGAAATCCCTTTGATTCTTGATTAATTTCTGTCGACTTATTTACTGCCTCAAAGTGGTGTTCCTTCTCCTCTTCTGCTACTACTTTTTCCTTTCTCTCAGTTTTGTCCTCCGATTTTTCTACAGGTTCCTTTGATTCTTCGTTTATATCTGTCGATTTATTATCGAGGCGATCTTCTTGTTCTCCCATTGAAAGTTTCTTTTTTCCGTCAAAATCCTTCAATTTTTCCAGATATTCTTTCACCCTTTCTGTCGACTTATTTAGTGCCTTGTGCTCTTTCACTTCCATTTCCATTTTTTCTCGTTTCTCCAAATCATTCTTTTCTACAGATTCATCGTCAACTGTCTTTGACGAATTCATTGCCTTCGTTTCCTTTGCTAAGCAACTTTCCTCTTCTTCTACTTGCACTTCCTTGATTTTTTGAGTTTTAGAGAACGAAGACTGGGTTTCGATATTCTTTGACGAGTTATTCTGTTCCTCGTTACGAGATTTCTGTAGTACCACGGTGTTATCCGAATCTGAGTCTCCCGAATTCGGTACGGAGTCTTCGAAGACCAGGTTGCATTCAGCCTCGCTCTCGTCGTTCAGCTTCTCGGTAGACGCGGACAACTCCGAGAGCTTGTCGACCTGCTGACTCCACTCGCGCAACGGAATGTCTTTGAAGAAATTCTCGGCTGAATCCCCGATGTTTTTCTCAGTTTTTAGGGGATGCGACATGGTTCCATCCTTTTCTGATTCGATCGAATTCTTCTCGACGGATTCTTCCGTATTTCCAAAGTGGCCAGTGTTCTCGGTAGATACTTTCAAATCTTCAGTTTTATCAATGGATTCTTTCGTGTTGTTCTTGTTGGATTCTTTGAACTTTTCAATGTTCTCGACAGATTCTTTGAAATTTCCAATATTTTTAATGGATTCATTCGTACTTCCAATATTAGCAATGGATTCTTTCGTATTTTTAATGTCTTCACCGTTTCCAATGGATTCTTTCGTATTTTCGTTTTCAGAGGATTCTTGGGATTTACTGATTGCTGCGAGTGATTTGTCTGAACTATCTACACTGTTGACCGCAATACAGTTATCTTTCAATGATTCTGTGTCGTCGTCGACGATCGACTTCCACCGTTCATTTAGAATTGTATTATCTTCGTTAGTCGGGGCTTGGTTATCTTCTTTCTTTAAAGAGTCGTTGAAGGATTGTTTAGCTTCTTTGTTTGAATCTCCGCGATTCTCCTTCTCGTCGTCGTCCAGTTTCGGTATCTCTGTATCGATATAGGGATTATAGTTTAAGAATTTAATAGTACGTGCATTAGTTTAGTATTCATACGGATTTCTATTTTCAAATTGTAATAACTTTCATTATAATCAAAGAGATCGAATGAAACTTGAGGGAGATTTTTAGGAAACTTTTATCCAATTCTTATATATGTTATGTCAATAACTTGGGTTTTAATAAAGAAAATTCGATGAAATTTATAAGAAACCTCCTGAAGGGCGCTATTTAACACTAGATTGCCCAAGG